TCTTGGCTAAAGCTACTGATCCAAAAGCTTTGAGACTGAATGTACCTCTTATCTCCAGCAATGTAAGCTGTGAGCATTCCTGAGTCTTCTGACTTAGGTGCACATGAAATAACTCTGAACTCTTTTTCATCCTCTGTAACGAGCAAGAGGGATCTGCCTACCGTGCTCAAATGTGCTTTCCTTGACATCTAAGCAGAGATCAGCCTTCCCACTTTCATTTCAGTGGCGCACTAAATACACAGAACACACACACAATTTGGCAAACTTGAGATTCAAATCTGCACAGAAAAAAAGGTAAAACAAATCCATTTTATTTCTGACTGAAGTGGATTGCTAAGTACTGCCATCTTGCTTAAGTAACATCAGATGCAAGAGCAACTGGGAATAACAGTTTAAAGGCCAATATTGATAAAATTTGTATGAATCAGTGCATTCTGCTTATGCAAGAGAGGGCTACGTGGTGTTGCAGATCAGCACCATCTCTACAGGGCTGGGAGGGAAAGCTATCTGTTGAGAATGTGTACGACCCCGTTGAACTGCTACTGAAGCCTCAAGGAATGGTTACCCAAACACTGAAATGCTGTCAGACAGTCAAACTCTACTGACAAAAGCCTTTTTTGGTTATTGGTTACATCAACATCTGTGTTTAAGCCACTAGTAGACAAGTTTACCAGCACTTGGAATCAAACAGCCTTAGTAGGCTTGAAGATGCAACATCCAGGATTAAAATGCCTACAGCAACTCAGAGCAAGCAGCACTTCAAACATGGGATAGTAATGCATCACTTTAGTCAGTGCAACTGGAACAGATTAGAAAACAGTGTTCACTCTACTTAACATACTGTAGGAGGAGATAAGCAAATAGTGAAGAGGTCCAAGCACCAGTAATTCCTCTATCTGGCTTAAAAAATAATTTTTAAATAGTTATTTTTAAGTTAAGCACTCAATTTATTTATACTTTTCTCCCATCCTTATAAGCAAATGAAAAATAAATGCTTCTTTGCATATGTTATAACATTAAGGTAGCAATCGCTCTCCAACAATCTATCTTTGAAATGGGATGAAACTGTCCTGAAAGATCTAAAAGATGGTGGTATGAGAAGAGCTAATTAGAGCTCACCTCTCCTGTCCATGATGTTTTCCTACATATTGGGAAGCAAAAGGGCAAAATCTTGAAAGCTTTGCTTTCTAATTGTTTTTATATTTTTAGGCTTTCAATCAGTCATGAGTTAATACCTAACTCAAGCTGGCATCCATAAATATTTAAAGAAAACTTAAGTCAACTATCACTGCCATTACCACTTCAAGGCTTCCAAATGAGGAACTCTACTCTTACTGTAAGATTACCACCTTGACTATAATGGAGGATCTTCCCTCTTTCAGCAAAGTGCCCATCAGGAAGTGGAGCACAACCTGCTGCCTAGGTGCCAGCGAAGCAGGGAAAGAAAAGCTGACATATGCCTCAAACCGCCAATGAGCATTTTTAAATTCCATCACCGACAGGGAAAAAGAATCAAGTGTTTTCATCTCAAAGTCCACTGTAAACTGGTCAAAAGCAGTCCTTCCCCATGGCAACCAGAAATGCTTTTCCTAAAATTTTTAGGCTATTAGGAAAGTGTCACATACTTCTAGTAAGAATTGTGGAAATGTTTGGGTTTGTTTAATTTTTGAAGAATTGGCGGGTTTTCTTCTTCTTCCATATATAAGACCACACACTTGACACTTCTTCCTTTTACAGAGGACAGACTTAAATGGTAACCCGTTCAGGGAGAAGCCTTTTAGGCAGTTTCCGCCAAGGGGCTGCTGTCCTGACAAAAGACCCTAACAAAATATTTAAGAAAGTAAGGATCCTCATCTTCTGAAAAAACACTGGAGAATTTAAAATAGAACACGGATTTTAGCTATAAAAGTTCAAAACCATACTCTGATCACAACCATCCTGAGTTTAGAGTTTAGGAAGTCCTCAGCCATTTAAGGATGATAACACTAGTCTGAAATGACTGACATGTCTTACAGAAATCTTAGCAGCTGGAATGCTGGCTGGACTCGCTGACTGCCCGCCAGGACAAGTTACCCCATTAAGCAAACAGAGAACCGACAAAGGCCCTTGTAAAGCACACTGCCTCATTTCTGAGATGCTGACATACGCCAGGTACTTCAGCATTAAGGCCGGATTTGCCAGCGAGTATCTACCTCGAGCCAGTGCTCTCAACACACCTTAGCTAACGGTTTGAAGATGAGCATTTCTACAGTAGCCACAGTGGAGCAATGGAAGTCACTTAGCTTGTGGATGAATTTAGGGGGCAAGATGTGCAAGGGTTCTATTAAAATAATGAACACACACATACACACCCCCCACTCTATGAACTTAAAGTTACAGCTGTGTTCCAACATCCAATACTCACAACTTCTGATCACACTAACTTAAGCTTTTCGTTCTATAATATTTATTTAGTAGAAGTTAAAGTTACAGGCCAGCTAGTGAAAACTGAGGGTTGAGACCAGTCTGTGCCCCAAAGGTTTGCCATTTTGAAGCCAAAATCTATCACTATGATAATCTCATCCTATTTGTACAATGTCATGACTTATTTTTTTTCCCAGAGGACAGGTAAAATACTTCACACTTAAGCTCACAGTCAGCGAAGAGTCCAACACCTCCTCCATTTCAATTTTTAGCTATACTTATGACAGAAAACTGAATTTGTCTGTTCGGGCTTCTCAGTATTTGAGCTTGTCTGACTGAAGTCAGGATTAAGAAGAGCTGTCCTACCACTCCCCAGTACCAGATTTTTTTTTCCCCTCCATGTGTAACTATTTGCTGTCCAGTATCAAAATGTTGTTTCATCTTCATTGGTAATGATAGAGACAGAGTTCCTCAAACCTCACACTGCAAGATCTCCTATCCCGCCCCAGCTGTTACCTCAAACTCAATTATTGCTATAGCCTTCTCAACTGCAGACATCAAAATCGAGCATTTTTCTGGTAGCTGTCTTCTCCATGCTGTTTGGGAGGCAAAGCTCCACACTTATGTATCTTTTTCCCTTTGTACAAGTTGAAGTACACCATCAGGCTTTTAACTGCAACCCTGAAGGCTCAGCATCGAGGTGGTTCTCTGGCACAAGTCTTTTTGCATTGCTGCTGTGGTTCACCATGTACAGACTGTACACTCTTTGTTCGAAGAGACCATTTGTACCTTGTGATGACTTTTTTTCCAGCCATACCTGTTCAACGTGATGATTCAGAGAATAATGGAACAGTATCATGTTCTCATTATTTTCTACTACACCAATTTTTCTCTTCTCCAAACTTTACCAAAAGCTTGATTCCTCCTATGCTTTTCTGTATAAATGACATGCAGTTCAAATCTGGATTCCTTCTGTTCCCAAAGAATTAATCAATGTACCAGGATTTGAAAGTACTTGCACATGTAAGGTCTCCATCCCATCTTCTAACCATTTCACTACCCAAATTAATGCCAGTTAACACCACCACCACCTTCTTGAGGACAGAACTAACACAACGGTTACAAAGAGTGGAACCTAAATAGAAAATGATAAAAAAAGACATGTATCACTTGATTTCAGTTCACTACAGGTTTTGAAGGCTTCTTACTAGAAAAAAAATTTAGGCAATCAGTGAATTAGTTCTTTCATACGTTTTTCAAGTACACATTGGCAAGAGCCCCTAATCGCAGGTCCCCAGCAGTGGCACCTGTTACTGAGGCAACTAGGCTACCCCTATGGAAGAGCTGAAGCTATTTAGTCATCACTGGGTAAATTGCTTGTGCTCGCTAGAGCAAGAAGTATTTCTTTGGAATGTACCTCAAAAGAAATTCCTGCTCAGTATTAATATGCTCAGACAAACTGAATAAAAGGCACTGTTACTCAAGCAGTACATTGTTGTCTCCAACTCTTAAGAAAAATAAAAATGTTTTTGAACAACTGCTACTGTTTCCCAACTACCTTGTTACCATGTAATTTCATCCCTCCCTATAAAAGCTTAACAAAAATTGCCTTTTTTCTGAAGCATGTTGAGTCTCACCTTTATATCTATATCTAAAATTATGAGTTAGTATAACAGTATGCATTATAAAATTAGACCATTTACTTCAGATGTGTCTGAACAGCTAAATCTTCAAACTATACAAAAATAAAGTGTATGAAATCTTACAAAAGGAGGACATTAAGACATTAATAGCTAATCCAAAAATATAATAACTTATACACACAGCAGTAAGCATAAGCAATGAGGCCTACAACAACTTTAACAGGACCTCTGAAACAAGCATCAGCTAAAACTGGAACATTCCCAAGCACAATAATATTTCCAATTTATTATCTTTACCACAGTACAAACTTTCACAAACCAAATGTCCATTGTCTGTCAGTCTGTAAACAAAAGCTACTATCCCCCCTCCTGATTTTAAGAGGGTGAATATTTTCAGTCCTCAGTCAAGTTTCATATCCATCATTTGCATAAGTAATCAAGAGCCTCTTCTCTTGTTAAACGTCATACAGCCTGCAGTGAAGTAAAATCACAGTGAAAGTCCTGGGAAAAACATGATCTTTACAGCAGGACATGAACCATTCTAATAATAAATGCATCTAACAAAGCTTCCCATAATAAAAGCATGGCATTTCCATTTCCAGAAATCAAGTCAATTAGAAATCCTAAGTTCTACTTAAAAATCCCAAAAGATCTAAAAGTGAAAAGATTCATCTTCTCGGTCAAATACAAGTCTTTCAGGTTCACTTGCAGAGAGACTTTTCCAGTCTGTAAAACAGTAGTGCAATTCAGTGAGTTCTACTTCTTTTGCTTAAAGTCCAGTAGATAAATGTCCTAGCTCTACGGAAAGATAGGAAGATGCTCCGGTAAACAAGAAACTTTGGCAAGCCCAGGAAGGCTTACTAGTCCATTAAAGCTTAGAAGTCCAAAGTGGCTTAAAAATGGTTTATGAATAAACAAAAAAAAGGAAAAAAAATTTTAAACACGCTACTAAAAAAGACAAACTTAAAAAGGGGTGAAAAAGAAATAAATAGGCAGAAATGAATGTAAACTGTCTGAACTTTTTAATGATTTCTCATTGACAGCTGGCACCACCTTTGACAGTACAGTCAGTTAAATATAGTTGACCTACAGAGCATTCCATTAGGGCATCCAGTCTGGAATGCTCAAATGGAATTACATTCCTAAAGATTTAAAAAATAGAGTTCTAATAACATTACTATAGGTTTCTTCTGCCCACCTCACTTAGACTTTTTCTTAAAGAGGCTTTTTATTTTTGATGGCTTTTTGTTTTTTTCACCATTTTGGCACAGGTCCTGCGGGATGCTACTTATCCTAGGGACAGAAGCAGCTTCATGGCTGGGTTTACTATCACTGCCAGCTGAAGAACACGAGGTGTGCCGAGGCTTTGGGCCTGGGATCCCAGTTGAAAGCTGGTTCATGCTACAGGATTTCTCCAGGATTCCATTATAAACTTTGCTTGCAGGACTAAAGATCATGCTCTTAGTTTCTGCCATGCCTACACAGTCAGGAGAGCCCCTAGAAACATCTGCAGTTAGAGAAGAGGAGTCTCCTGTAGATGATTCCTCCAGTGAGAATTCTTCCGGGGATACTTTCTGAGGAGAAAGTGTCTGGTACACCTCGAGACTTGCTGGAGGAGACTGCTTTCTTCCAGTGGATGAATTTAAGGAGTCACATTCCGAACCGGTTTCCTGTACTTCCCTGAGTCGGAGCAAAGAGAGGAGAAAACATAATGAAACTACTATTTCCTTCATGCAGTTAAAAAGGAAATTTAATTTAGAATCACAACATAAGTCTAAGAAACACCACCCACACTTTTCCTTAGTAGTTAATTAACAAAAAAAAAAATAAACATTTTAACTTACAACTTGAATTACATCATTTTATAATCTAAAATTAAGAGATTTAATTTGTGTGATCTTGTTTTTGTGGGTAGCAGCATTTGCCCATAATCAGTCATTTGTATCTCACTTCAAAGAACAAAAGCTATCTTTCTGGCATGTGAAGTCAGAAAAGTTATGAAATGAAAGAAGGAGATTTAAGCCTATCATATACAAAAAGTTTCTTCAGGACAAGTGTCCCTACCTTTCAACAAGCTCATTTGCTCCTTCCAAAAGGAATTTAACCTTTTCCTATGAGGCCATGTAACAAGAGTAGGTACACGCTCAACATGCTGTAAGAATTGTGTTACCATCCATCTTCTCTTCGCCCAGTAGCTGACACTGCTTTTGATCCTAGTTTCAGATGTAAAAGCCAGTAACATATTGTAATGGAGAATCAGGGTTAGTTCAGTGCACCCTGGATTGTAACATTACTTAACTGTATACGACATGCTAGCTATTTACATAAACATACCAGACAAGAAGTCTCTCTCTTCCATGAGGACTATGTTAATTTATATTATCCTACAGGTTACTTTAACTTTTGGCTTAGTTCAACTTCTAATTCTAAACTGTTAGTCTCAAATAATCCTAATCGAGTGCTGTTTGCTAATCTCCGTACCATTGTTTATCAGCAGAGAAGTAAATGGCTTCCTCCTCCTCTTCAGTTCGATAAAGAGCTGGGCAGCTCGACACAGAAAGGATGTCAGGGTCAGGGGAGTGCAAAGCATGCTGAGACTGTGGAGATGATGGCACAACATTGCGTCTTGATCGACACAAGCTACTGCTTCTTGCCAGTGTGCTGGGAGGTTTTACAATGGACCCTGAGGCAAAGAAAAAGCAAACCAAAACCCTCCAAGTGACATTGATGTTAACAATATCTACTCTGAACACTAAACAGAAGGTATCTGCTTCAGCTGTGATTCTTAAACAACTCTGACACTGCTCAACTGTGTAGAGCGAGGAAAGACCAGCATCACCTGATACATTCTCCATTCAGATGAAGAATCTAACCAAGATGCAACGGCAGTAGTTTTGTGCCTGTCAAATATTACCCTGACCATGCGCACCAAAGCTCTGGCTCACTACGCTCTCTGGAGAACAAAGAGAAAGATCCTACTGAAACTCCCGATCCTTTATAAACTAAAAATAGGAGTACTGAAATTAGAATGTTACACAATATCCTGCATTTCACTTGCGTGGCAATTTGGAGCTTAAAAGAATAAATAAAAGTTTTGTCATGTCAGTATACCTAACCAGTCAACTGAAATACGCTGCATTAGTTGAAAGTTAAGTTAGAATGGAAGACCAGTTCATTTATATTACATGATAGAAAATATGTGATTCAACCTCTTTTTAAGCTCAAGAGTTTCCTATTTGATAACACTTTCTTTTGCAAGACTAACTATGAATTTCCAGAAATAAAAATAGTAATAATGGGTGGAGACAGTACACAAGACTTGACCAGGAAAGTATCACACAGGAAGTGACAAACTAAAGTCTTCCTAACCCAACTCCTCCTTCACAGGATGACTAGGCCGCAATACTCCTATGGAAATAAATCTACAGACCTGTTCTCAGGCTAGCTGTTAAAGAGCCTCAGGATTTCTCATACCTCTCCTCAACTGCCCCACAGAATGCATCACTGCTTTGGTAAGACAGACCATACCCTTACTAACATGCAAAATGGTTACCAAACACAACACCCTAAAAAAACCCTGAACTATTACTTTTGTAGACATGGATGTCTAGCCTGACAAAGTGGTGTTTTTTGGGGTTTTTTTGAGATACCAGTTAAACATCAGGTAAATCAGTTTCCCTTCCTGGAATCTCAGAAAAGGTAGATATGTCATTCTACTTTCAGTGCAGGAAATCCTTTCAGAATACAGCAAGTAGCTGCTTCTTTGCCAACACTTAGTTTCTTGCCAGGCTGAGCAGAAAAGAAAGGTTTACAAGTCATTGAGACAGTTGTCAGGTAACTCAAACCTGATTACACTTCTGATAAACTCCCTACTGACCCAAAAATCAGGTGATGGCAGCTCAAAAATAAGCTTGTGTCATTACAAAAATATTGAAGAATAAGAATCCCTTCAGGAATTTTGAACTGTGTGTCCAGGTAAATCAGGTGCCATCCTACTTGCTGGTGTAAAAAAGAACAAGATTCACCATCAGTGAATTTTGAGAGATGTACAAGTATTTTGGTTCCTTGTAGGCATATATACATGGGATTATGAAGTACTCAATGACAGTTTAAACATCCAAAATTTTCTACTACAAATGAAACTCACTAAATCAAAGAATCAGCTGTATCCTAATCAGTCAGTGGAGAAGCAGAAGTTTCACTATTATCTTCCTGCAATTACTTTGTTCCAGATTTGTACATCCTATTTCTTTATCCCCTTCTGTTCTTCAGTTCAGGATTGATTAAACAGATGTATTACTTCACACCACCTTAGCCTATCATTTCAGTTGCTGCAGCACAACAAAGACTATCTGGCAGACGTCACATTTTGTCACTCGTAATAGATCCAGGGATGCTGGGGCAAGGTACAGCCCAGATAGTTCAGCTTAGGTCCAGAGACTGAAAGTGCCTTGCTTGTAACTGACCTGTCTGCACACTGCCTGAAGCCTCAAGAATGAAAAAACAATATTTGAATGAAAAAAGACATTTTGCTTCGTCCTTCCTCACACGCATTTGTCATTTTTGTCTGAAGGATGGGAATAATTTAGAAGTTACCACACTAATCAACAATAATGTGACTCCTGAACTGGTTTCAACAACAGATCATTCAGCATATCGTCCCTCTCTTTCCCCACTCCCAAGTGGTTCGAGGTTTTGGGGTTTTGTTGTTGTTTGGTTTTGGTTTTAAACTCAGTAGAGATTTTAAAAGCTAGTAAAGGAGAAGCTGCTTCCCTCATGTGATTACTTGAGCAAAACCAGGCCCTTGTGCCTTACCAAAATTCAGAAGCACACATTTAAAGTTTTTGTAATGTTACTAAGATTCAGATAACTTTCATCACTGACTGACACAACATCCATTAGCTAAATATTTGCAAATGAACTAATCTTTAACAAAAAAAAATTAAACCAGAATTGCAAAAGCATACAGCAAAGTTACAACTAAGTATGCTGTTACAAACTTTACAGTCCTTCTCTAATCGCAGTTCCTCCAAACCAATTGCACTTTACTCTCTGGCTCCACTTCTATGCAAGCCCTCAATGACAAGAGTAACAAAAAAAAAAAAAAAAACACACCACCAAAAAAAAACCCACCACAAGTCTTACATATCTCTAAGTGTTTTATTTTCATTTTAGACCATATGGAAGGTCATGATCAAAAACTTAGGTCTTCATTTTGAAATCAAACCACAGGCTTCTCCGTACGGACTTGGAAGCTTAACTCTAGACATCCATATTTTATTGGGCCACCCAAGAAATTTGTTCCTAGGGTTTAAATAAAAGCTTGTACAGTGAAGACAACTGCGAAACGGTATTCTTTAAGTGATCAGAACTTGCAGTAAGTAGTGTTGCAAGGGGGATGTGGCTTGTAGAAAGAAGGCTGGTACATGCACAAGAAAAATGTGTGCCAAAGGCACACTAAATGCAGCCAGCAACGTGGCAACTGTGGGATTCTTCTGAGAATCCCTGCTGTGGAAGAAATACGTACCCATACAACAAAGTTTTCTTCCCTACTCATTCCTTAGCTTGATATTGCTTGTTTGAATAGCTAGATGGGAGCTCATCTTTTTGATTGGACTCTAGAGTCCACTTAAATCACAACTTCCATGAAACAGGCTCTTGTACTGACGCAGTGACTCAAGATACGAGGGTGGTCTGAATCCCCAGTGTATATCTTCTGATCATAGTTTAACCAAAGCTGGATTTCCCTCTCTCCCTCCCTCCCGCACTTGGCTTTTCTGCCTCATACTCAAACAACCCGCTGTATCCAAACACATCCTGCCTGAAAGCTTCCCTCAGACCACAAGACTGTTTCAGGCACTAAAGAATATTTGAAAAGCTACGTAACATTGCAGCCTCTCAAAGGGTGTGATCTTCCTAGCAGCTCAAGGGATCCTAGACTAACTCCATCCCTTCTATTCAAAGGATAAGTGTACAAACAAAAATTCAGTGTTACTCGTTATAAAATTTTGTGTACATGGAAATCCAAGCATTACAAGCAGATTTTCAAAACCTTTTCAATTTGCGCCCCCACTCCCTCAATGAAATGGAATAAAGGCTTTTTCTTCATGTTATCTTTATTCTAAGACCCAGTTTTCAGTTTGTGCAATTCCCAATACATGCATCTGAAAAGGCTAGATAGAATTTTGGTCTTTCTGACTTTGATCCAATCCTGTTTGATTTCAGGACTTTTCTCCCACCTGACTTTAAATCCCCATGCCTCCACAACTTTACCCCTTTCTTTAAACTGAGCTCACCACTTACCATGAAACTGTGAAACAATTGGAGGAGTATCTTCATCTAAGTCATCAACTCCCCCTGCAATGGGGTAAGGAGGAATGGAAACTCGGGGCATAACTACCCAGCTGTGATCAGAGTAGAGAGAGGATGTCAAGCTTGGTAGCCCAGAATTGTGTGCTATTTGAAAACCACAAATCTTCTCAATCTGTTGCCATCGATAGAGACGCTCTCGCAAACATGTCGTCAACTCTGACAGTGCTTTCCTGAAGAAGAGTACACATTAAAATTACTTACACTATTCTTAATGATAAAGAAAAGCAACATGTGTGCAGTCATTCTGGCATACCAGAACATCTATTAGGACTGTCCAAATATTTGGACTTTATTATATTTTAAACTATTTTAAAGTGCAAAACCATTAAGACAATTCCAGAACTCTCAAAAAACTCCACTGTACCAGGAAAAAATAATCACAGAAGAATATGCATCCTGGTAACACTCTTACTTTGCTTCAAGGATTTTATGGTCCACTTCATCCAGGGAGGAGCTGTGTGCAACATGTAATGTTCCAAATACAGTGCTTCGCTTCTTTTTTATCTTTTCTGCCTAAAAAGTAAGATAAAAGGAAACGCATAAAACTAGGAGTTACATATGTTACATTAAACATTAACAACATTAACAGGTAACAAACAAGTCAGAGATGATAATTTGGAATTATTTTTCTCTTCTGAACAATCTGTATTTATTATTTCATATATCTAGCAACAGATCAGAAAGGTCTTCAGATAGCTGAAGAGTGAGAGTACCTCATCTTTGGCAATTGCTAATTGCATTTCTGCATGCTGTCTTTTGATATTGTAGTATTGTACTTCAACCTCATGTGTTAACTGAAGCCACTTCTGCAAAGCTTCAGGAACAGACCAGTTACTTCTCATCTCAAACTCCTTCTCAGCCTTTTTTAAAGCCATGCGAACCTAGCAATCAACAAGAAATAGGTGTCACCAGGATTATCATTAGAACTGACAGCAGAAAAAGGTGAAATACAAGCACTTTCATATCCCACAGCAACATACTAAGGCTTTACAGAGCTTTGGGGTGTGCCAATTGCAATCAGAAAGACACATCAGGCATTTCTGAAGTATAGCATATGAATTTCCATATACTATAATAGTCAAATTATTTTCCCTATGATGTATAGTCCCTAACTTGAAGACTGAATATTTTTGCAAGAGAGAATTTTCATTTAGTACAATGAAACCAATCTGTTGCTACACAGGAGTGAGACAAAGCTACTATCTCTCATCTGATAACCAGATAGGAAAAAAGCTTTTGTAAATATTTTGCTCCATGAATCCAACAATATTATGATAAGCTAATATACAAAGCATGTGTCTTTTTATAGTTTCAGAGTTATTTTACTAGATAATGGCATGATTGACAGTCATTAAGTGCTCTTAGAATTTTTCCATTCAAATACAGCATTAGAGAAATGAAGCTAATTGGATCAAAATGGATCTAATGAAGCCAGAAGCAATTTGAAGTCAACACTTAAATTATAAACTGTTTGCAGATACCTGTACTAGCTCTTCCTCTGCATATTTGAGCCTGCTGAGCTCACATTCAGCTCCCTCCCTCAACTCCCTTAGGCGATGAGCTTCCCGTTTTGCATCATTGATCTCATCCATCATTTTGCGCTCCAGATTTTGCTTTTCCACAGCAACGTTTCGATTCTCTTCTTGTGCCTTCTCAAGCCTTCACAATTGAACAAAAAATATGAGAGAATACACAGCATATTTGTTAAAAGTTGCAGTCCTCAGGAGAAGAAAATGCATCCAGCAGCAGGGCAAGAGGCAACAGGCACAAACCAAAACACAAGAGGTTCCTTCTCAACATCAGGAAGACCCATTTTCACCACGAGGGTGACTGAGCACTGGCACAGGTTACCCAGGGAGGTGGTAGAGTCTCCGTCCTTGGACATATTCAGAAGCCACCTGGACATGTTCCTGGGCAACCTGTTCTAGATGATCCTGCTTGAGCAGGTGGGGCTGGACAAGACCTCCAGAAGTCCCTTCCAACCTCATCCTTCTGCGATAATAAAGACTTGGCAAGCTTCATGAATCAGCAGCAATTACATCACACAGTGTGACATCCGCACCAGACAAAAGAGGTGAAGTTTTATGTGAACCTTCATTAAAGGTGAAATAAGATCAAAATACGAGTGTTTATAGACAATCCAGTTAGAGGTGCACCAGAAAACACTATCAACTCACACACTGCTCAACAAGCAATAGAAAGTAATCAGTCCAGGTCTGCCCAAGTTTTAACAGGAGATGTATTGGAAAGCTTACATGCATGAGAAAGTAAATTGTAATTGTATGAAAATAACAACACATACTTCTAAACCTATAGATTAAAAAATATTAAACCTCTGTTCTCTACCTTCATCCCAAGCTCACATTGCCTGAGAAGATATCCAGAAACAATTTCTATCCCAAAAAAACCATTGTGGCTGACATCAAAATTCCCATGCAAAATGAAGTTAAAATCCAAAGGCAGCTTAATGCACATAATCTGACTGTGGAGGACCTGTATTCATATTCAACCTCAGGAAAAAAAAAAAAAAGAGCCCACCACCAACAAAAACGGAAACTCAACACCAAAACAAAACCACCAACAAAAAGGACAACTAAACATTAGTTTTTATACCTTTCCTGCAAGTCAAGAAGACTTTGCTCTGCTGTTTGGAGACTTTCTAAGTCCTTCATCATTTTTGTGATATGTTCTCTTGAGGTTCTGTTCTGTGTATATGCAAACCAGCAGCCTCCAAACCCAATAACTATAGAAACTGTCAATACAAAATCCTTCATCCAGTTGTGAGGGGGACCTATGCAGAGAACAACACAATCATTAGCTGGTACATTGATACAGACACTGTCTGTACCTTTGTTTAAATGAGTTAAGGAAGAGTTTCCCCAATTACACTTTATTGGACCAGCAGGATCTTCAGTCATGTTTGAGTAAGTACTCCTCAAGTCTGCACCCTCTGGAATGCCCTATGCTGAGTTAAAAAGACACCTGTCCAAAATAAAGTAGATTTTAAAAGGGTAAGTAGCTAATAACAATATTTTTTAAAAGCAAAACCAGGATTGTCAGAGTAGCATATCGATGATTCTCAAACTTCTTTGTTAGTACAACTTTTATAGTCACTTGCACTTTTGTAAATCAAACTTTTCAGAGACAATTTCTGCTAGCACTAAAGGTATAATGCAAACACAAAGTGCCTGTTTCCCCCAAAAATCTCCAGCTAAGTTATCTCAGGCTAATTCATATTGGTCGGGCCAGCTCGATCTGGCCTGACTTTTGCAAAGTCATTCACCAGTCTCCAAACTGACCTCCAAGCTCTGGAAACGCCCGACTAGCACAGTACCACACCAGATCTGTAACTGCGTACAAGCAAGCATGCAGACCACCGGTGATGTGGTAAGTGTCTACATATGCTAAAACAGGTTGGATGTGGAACTGCTGTATTCAGTTTAACTGCACTTAAACTGCACAGAAGACACTGGTACTGGATTTGCACCACCGTCTCCTTTTTATTTCCTTGGGGAACGTCATCACCCCCTCTCATTTCAGCAGCCCAGCTTACACTGTCCAAGCTAATTGGGAAGTGAATGTAACATTAGCTATAAAGTGCAACTTAAACAGTCAGAAGCATTTAGAGGACACTTCTTGTGATGCAAAAGCCAACACCCAACTGTCAAGAGGGGTTATACTTACATTTCCATTTTCTATCTCACACACAGAAGTGGACCTTTGTCCTGATCCCAGCATCTTGATAACCTTTTGTAATTCACTGCCCAGTTCCACAATACATGCCAAGAAACCCATCAGTACATCCACAAAATACATAAGCTGTCCTACCTGCAGTATCAAGTGCCCCTAAATTGAATTCTATTGAATTCTTACAAATAAGAGAAGAAAAAAAATTCCGAAAAGTTACTAACGTGTGAGAGGTCCAAATAAAACAACATCCAAGGCTTTAAGCTGAAGCTTCTGTCTATGGCTTCGGTCAATTATTTTCAAGTGAGAAATCATGAAAGCATGTTCATTTACCGCGATCCTGTTAATGATAAAACAAAACATTACCTATTCCACAATTGATATTCAAAACCAGTCTACGGAAATAAATACATCAGCAGCATTTCCCACAGTTATATGGAGTATAGTTATGCAATTAGAGTAAGAGACACAGTACAGTGACAGTAGTGCTATTAAAAAAAAAAAAGCATATCAGCACGTGGCAAAGGAAGAACATCAAATCATTTCCCTATTCTTTCTGGAATTATCATAAAATCCATTTGGTATATTTGCAGGCATGTGACACCAACACTCTGAAATACCTGCAATACTCAAATTTAAAAGTTATGCTCAAGAAAAGGGGTTCTGCAGATAGTTTTTGTTGTATACCCACATTATAGACTGGAAGCTGTTCAGAAGAAACTTTGCTACCATAGAGAATTACGCTGTAATCAGTAAAAGCTTCCACAGCAAAAACCAAAGCTAAGACAAAAGCAGTGACAAGAAGCATTTATATTTTGAAATATTTTAGCACAAAAAATGCAGCCAGCTCTTCAAAACTGCAAGGAAACTTCTCTTTTCTTGCATTTGACCATATCTTGTTAGACCTTAGGTTCACACAGTTGTTTCCACATACACACTAAAGCAGCAACCTACAGGGAATCATTTGAAACTAATCCAGAAGAAAGATTCACCTGGGAAGTGTCGTTCCATTGACATTACTGTCCCTAAAATTCTTTTCATATTGGGGCAGTTCAACAAATTCTGACAGCCACTGAAGAGTGTCCTCTTGAGTCCAGTTATGAACTGGGGGGAAAAAAAAAAGTCAGCTTAATTGCCTTTAATTTTTGTAAAAAAATCAATAGCAAGACGTAGGACACAAGCAGCAGAAAAGCAGGTTACAGTGAGCAAGAGGGTTAAGCCAAATATAATTGCAGAAAAATTAGTATTAACATTCATCAAGGTGTTTCTGGCATTTTGCCTCTTTCATTATATGCTTCTCAGAGAAAGCTTAGGCAAACTATAAACAAACAAGCATGGAAGCAATAGAAACATTTCTTTATTAAAAATTCCACAGAACAATTTAGTGTTTTGTTTAAGTTTAAATCAGAACAGCACCTTGTGACTTTTATCTATTTAAACTGATCTCAGCCTCAATCCTTTTGTCCTTGTCAGCAGGTACTGTAGCCATTTAAGGCAATGTACCAAAACCTATCCCAAGATGATGGCTTAAAGAACTTGTTTTCACAAGAGCTTTCATGGAGGCTCATGGCTACTAACCACAAAATGGGAGCAGAGGAGAGAGGAGAGTGAAAGACAGCAGAGATTTAACAGCAAAACAATTATATCTCTCAATTATGTCTAAAACAACTGTATTACACACAATAATATTCCCACTAAGTGAATTTCTTTAAATATCTAAAGAATTATTAACAATTTTCCTATGTAACAGGAGCAGTCTACATAACTTTTCATACCTACAGATGCTCTAAGAAAATACTACCTGTAGATTTAAAAAAAAAAAACACACCCACACATTACCGGCCAGCGGCAACAGCTTACAGATCCACACTAACAAAGTTGAAGGGAAATTATTCTCTCCATTTATGAAGTTTGCCAAAGTTTGTCTGCAGATGAAAGAAGTGTGACACCTTCCTTCTGGACAGGCATATCTCTGCATGAACAAAAATCTTTAAAAAAGTGTGTGTGTCCCCCAAAAAAAAGAAAAAAAAAAACACCACACAGAACACACTGCTCTCAAAACTTCCCAGCATCGTCACATGTGAGTAAAGATCTCTTTTGCATCCTTCTGATAAGGTTCCTTTCTCAGTAGTGAATTTTGGCAATGAAAGAGCTGCTGAAAGCTTGACTTTTCTGCTGCAGGCCACAGAAATCTTTTTATGAGTTCAAATTCATATTTCAGTTTGCATCAAAAATGAAGTAAGGACTTCTAGGTCGCTTGTCTACACTCAACATAGCTGAAAAATAAGCTTAAACATTTCGTATTTTCAGCATTTCAGATAACCAGACACAGAACACATTTCACAGACCTCCTTACACCTTTAAAAAAACAAGCTTGCATTCCACACCACCTACAGTGTATCTGTATGAATGGCTACACGTCCTTCCCAGCATGCCATCCCATTTCTTCCTCAGCTTTTGAGCCACAAACTGTATCCGAATATTGATCTTGCAGCAGACTGTTTTGTCATATCACTCTTTTATGCAAAATGTCTATTTGTAAACAATCATTTTCACACTGCAAACATCATTCTGCTTTGTGAATAAGAAGTAATCAAATTTACAAGTCATTCTAAGCCTCTCAAAAGGATAGTAAAATCATCCATAAAAACATGAACTTAACTGCACTGTAGAAATATGTTCATAAACTGATCCAAAGCAAAAGTACTGTTTTCATATGACATAGAAAAAAATTTATGTAGAATAGCTACTACACACTACAGACTTTACCAGTGATGGTACAGAACATGCAATTCCAAAAGCCACACAATTCAATGAGTTTGTAAATGGGTGGGGGGGTAAGAAAATATATTGAGTTTCAGTTCTGCTGCTTCAAGTGTTTTTTGTAGTCACTCTGCCAAGATCTATTCTAATCTGCACTTATATAAATCGATGGTAATTTTAAACATATTCTCATGTAAGAAATTAGGCACATATTGAAGCTGTTTACAGTAGAGTCAATCACAACTGTTCTACTGCTTAGACTGGCATGATGTTTCCTTCATAGAATATCAAGAAAAATTCCTCAAACAAACCAGTTACATCTAGAAAAACACGTGACTATTCATCATCAATCACTGTATTAGATACCACCACTAGCACAGAAACTGCAAAAAGAAGCAACCAAAGTCTATCCCGAACTAAAATCATAAATTGTACTTTCCATATTCTTCTTTTACTGTTACCTCCTTACGTAAAAGTTAGTATCAAGTACTTTTTAATATATGTTGTGTCCTTCTAAATGACCACTCCTCATTTAAGCTAGCCATATCAACAGAGTTAACTCTTATTCTGGGATTTCATGGGCTGAATCCCTGCCTACGTGCATATTTCACAATGAAGATTGTTTTATTATGTAAACTAATCCTGCAGTAGCAGAATTCCAGTGTCACTGCTCACAAATCTCATACCTTTCCAGGTACAACCGGACCCTAAACTACCTCGTCATCCCCTTCCCATAGCAACTCAGTGGAATCCTGGCAGATTAATTCATATGTGAAAATATTCAGCCTGTTTCTTTTTGTTGGTATTTTCTACATGCCATATATTATTGAGAAATGTTTCTTGACTTCTCTCCAGTAAGACCTTAGAACAAACATGCACATTTATCCTACACCAGCATACAGTACTGCCTAGCAAACTGCCCTTTCTTCAGGGGAAGCAGCTACAGCCTACTGAAACAAGACACAGGCCAAGTGGTATACGCCAGGGGAATGGAAAGTCAAGCAGGCCAGCTGAAATTCATCTCCATCAGCATTGACAATTAGAGCGTGACAGCTCCTACTAATTAGCTGAGGTTGTAACTTTTCCTTATTTTAAACAACCAAAAGTGCTTCAGACAGTGGAGACTGACAATTAAGTTAAATGCACACAGCATTGAAGTGTAAGCATAATATCCTTCCCTCTCATACCTATTTTCACAATTAGGTATGTTGAGAGCGAGGATGTCAACAACGTGCCTTGGGCAGGCAGGTGTAAAAGCCAGGGTTTACACCCCAGTGCATCACTGTCTCCTGGTCCACATTTCAGACCACATGTTTGGGGGTGTGGTGGTGGCTGTTTTCTTTTTTTTTTCCAGATTATGGTTA